GAAAATACTCATATTTTGAAAAAATAAAATAAAATTGTCCAACAAAATATATTCAAATTTAATTTTACAATAAATTTGCCCCCTCCCCAAAAAATATACTTGATTCACAAGTTAAAAATGACAGTCGCAATAATATTTGTCTAATTAAATATAGCGGATGAAACAAACGCGCTTTTATGGATTATAGCTGGAGCCACCGAGTAACAGTCCTATTAATTCAGTGCTGCTGTACTCTTCTCCTCAGCCTATTATTAATGAATTGGAAACAGCCGCTGCAACCACCGACATCCCCGCCCCCTAACCCTCCACCACCCCCACCACCACCTCTCCTCCCTACCAGCCGAGCGCAATAAATAAATAATGGCGCAGAAGTCATGCATATGAACAACACGCATGCATGCACAGGGCTGCAGCTCTGTGCAGCTGAAAGCTGCGGGGTCAGTGCGGCGGGGCTGATGGTTTCTCTGCACAGAGGCCCGAGATGTTTTACTCAATCGTTGCTCGCCAAGGCCGAAGTTTCTGGATGAGGAAAGGAGAAGAGGGGCAAGGTGTTTATCCTGCAAAATCCTCAAGTCCATCTCGCTTTTTCTGCGCTCTGGGATCCTTCTAGTTTTGCGTCCGATCATCATTTTTCTTTTTTCCTTTTTTTTTTTTTTGAGAATATTCGTGTGGATGGCTGAGACGTGTCCGCAGATCGGCTGACAAGCAAGTGGCTTAGACGGCATGTGTTCCAAGAATTAAGGCAGAGCTGAATTTGATCCTGCGCGTTTTTCTGCTGCGAAGGGAGTATTTGCAGACTTGCGCACATATTGGGTTAAATTTTCTCAAGAAACAGCAAAAAAATAAAAAAATAAATAAATAAAAAAACAGATTTGTTCCGAAAAGCACAAAGACAAAAATTAATACGTGTTGTTTTCGGTCGCTGGGTGTTACTCTGCAATGTTTGTGTTTTCTCTGTAATTCCAGCAAAGTTCAATTTACCTCACTGGAAATATTATTATTATTTATATATATATATATATATATATATATATATATAT